GGGTGCTCATGCTGTTGATCACTGGATTGTCTGGTTTAGACTCGAATATTTACAATTGCCGAGTGCGGCGTAAAACTAAACTCACTGGCTAACTACTTTAAACACTGCACTCTTCCAGCACGTCTTACTTCAAACACCCACTGGTCTACCACCTCCTTCGTGAAACACTGCTTTCTTCTAGAACTGCTTACTTCAAATACTTTCTTCTAGCAGTTCCTACTTCAAACACTGCTCTCTTTTAGTACTTCTTACTTCAAACGCTGCACTGGTCTAGCACCTCTTTCTTCAAACACTGCTCTCTCCTAGTACTTCTTACTTGAAACACTGTTCTCTTCTAGTACTGCTTACTTCAAACACCGCTCTCTTCCAGCACTTCATACCTCAAACAATTCCTCTCTTCCAGAACTTGTTGCTTCAAACACTGCACTGGTCTAGCACCTCTTTCTTCAAACACTGCTAATACATCTTACTTCAAACACTGCTTTCTTGTAGCACTGCTTACTCCAAACACTGCTCTCTTCTGGTACTTCTTATTTCAAACGGGGCGGTGGGGTAGCCTAGTGGTTAAAGCGTTGGCTCGTCACGACGAAGACCCGGGTTCTATTCCCCACATGGGCAAAATGTGTGAAGCCCATTTCTGGTGTCCCCCGCTGTGATATTGTTGGAATATTGCTAAAAGCGGCGTAAAACTAAACTCAGTCAGTCAGTCTTATTTCAAACACTGCGCTCTTATAGCACAGCTTACTTCAAACACGGCTCTCCACTAGTACTTCATACTTTAAACACTGCTCTCTTCTAGTACTTCATACTTTAAACACTGTTCTCTTCTAGTACTTCTTACTTTAAACACTGCTCTCCTTTAGTACTTCATACTTTAACAACTGTTCTCTTCTAGTACTTCTTACTTTAAACACTGCTCTCTTCTAGTACTTCTTACTTTAAACACTGCTCTCTTCTAGCACTTCATACTTTAAACACTGTTCTCTTCTAGTACTTCATACTTTAAACACTGTTCTCTTCTAGTACTTCATACTTTAAACACTGTTCTCTTCTAGTACTTCATACTTTAAACACTGTTCTCTTCTAGTACTTCTTACTTTAAACACTGCTCTCTTCTAGTACTTCATACTTTAAACACTGTTCTCTTCTAGTACTTCATACTTTAAACACTGTTCTCTTCTAGTACTTCATACTTTAAACACTGTTCTCTTCTAGTACTTCATACTTTAAACACTGTTCTCTTCTAGTACTTCATACTTTAAACACTGTTCTCCTCTAGTACTTCATACTTTAAACACTGTTCTCTTCTAGTACTTCTTACTTTAAACACTGCTCTTTTCCAGTACTTCATAGTTTAAACGCTGTTCTCTTCTAGTACTTCATACTTTAAACACTGTTCTCTTCTAGTACTTCATACTTTAAACACTGTTCTCTTCTAGTACTTCATACTTTAAACACTGTTCTCTTCTAGTACTTCATACTTTAAACACTGTTCTCTTCTAGTACTTCATACCTTTTAAACACTGTTCTCTTCTAAGTAATTTTACTTTAAACACTGCTCTTTTCCAGTACTTCATAGTTTAAACGCTGTTCTCTTCTAGTACTTCATACTTTAAACACTGTTCTCTTCTAGTACTTCATACTTTAAACACTGTTCTCTTCTAGTACTTCTTACGTTAAACACTGCTCTCTCCTAGTACTTCTTACTTGAAACACTGCTCTCTTCTAGTACTTCTTACTTGAAACACTGCTCTCTTCTAGTACTTCTTACTTTAAACACTGCTCTATTCTAGTACTTCTTACGTTAAACACTGCTTCTTCCACAGCCTTAACTCTGTATACAACAGGAAAGGGGTAATTATGTTCCCTAATGGATTACACTTTACCACGCATCAACGTCTTGTCAGGAGGTGGTATCTTGTGGCTGCAGCAAGGGGTGCAACAACATATACAAGTGCAAACAGTCGTCACTGGAGGTGTGAGGGGCAATGCTAATAAACCTGACTCTCCTTTATTTTCAAGACATTTGACCAGAAGTGTGGGTATTTATTATTTTAGTTAAAATTTCCCTGTAATGCACTATGGCCTTTTCAAAGTAAAACAGTAGCGACAAAAGGCAAAGCAGTATTTACCTTCTGCAAACGCCCGTGAAGATGCGAGTTTGAATTCTGGAATCCATGCTTGTCGTAAGAGGCAACTGATGGGTTGGGGCGGTCGGGCTCGCTAACATTTCTCAAGCACCCCACACCCTTTTGCAACGAATACAGCACGTTTCTTTATGTTGAGGGTAACATTCTACTGTAGGCTTGCCATGGGTATATGTGTGAAGGCTCGTTTGTGTAACTCGAGGGTGTGTTGGCGGCTGATGTCAAATTTTAGACCCATGAATATTCGGGTTAAACAACAGGATCGCTTTGTCAGGCTCGCTGACTTGGTTGGTATATGCCTTCGTACTCACACTTCGTAGATCCATGCTCATGCTGTCGATCACTGGGTTGTCTGGCCAAGGGTCGATTGTCTACAGACCGCTTCCATATAGCAGGAATAGTGCGGCGTTAGGAACAAACAAAACAGTCTGCGTATGCGCAAAATGAACTTATGTTGAGTGCCTCCATATCTGAAAATCTTCACTATGAATCAGTCAATGAATGTGCAAAGTTTTCTGCTTTTATCATTAAATGCACAATTTATCTGTTTAGCCGCTCCACTATAGTACTTCTTACTTCAAACACTGCTTTCTCCTGGCACTGCTTACTTCAAACACAACCCGTGAACATCCGGGTTAGAATTAGTTTTCAGTAACCAATGTTTATCGTAAGAGGCGACTAACGGGATCGGGTGGTCAAGCTCGCTGACTTGGTTGACACATGTCATCGGTTCCTAAGTGTGTAGATCGATGCTCATGATGTCGATCCCTGGATTGTCTGGTCCAGACTCACCGCCATATAGATGGAATATTGCTGAGTGCGGCGTAAAACGTAACTCACTCACTAGTGCTTGACACAGCATTAGTATTGGCGTACAATTTGCCAGTTGTCATGTGGTGAAGCCCATAAAAGCCTGTCTACACGGATGCGACAGAATCATGGTTGAATCGGCCTTACTTAGGTACAGTTTTACGATTGACCTTGTTGGATGGTGGTGTCAAGATGAGTCTTGATGTCACAATGCATGTTTATCGGAAGTACGTATTTTTTACTCTATAACTTTGGTAATTCGTCACGCCAGTCAGCAGTTGTGTGGTTGATGCAATGTAGTTTATTGAGGTATGAGTGTAGGGGTGAGGGTGTTTAGATGGATGGATGCATACATGTATATACACTGTACATATATATATATATATATATACATATATATATATATAATCTCTTTTCTAGGCAACCAGACAAGTTCAGCACAGTTTCATCATAGCGATGGATAGTTGTGACAACCATCTTCGACCCCACTCCAGACATCAAGTTCATGGCAGAGATACCCGGGTGGAAGGTTGTTGTTGTCGGAGACACCAAGACTCCAAAGGACTGGAGGTTATATCAGGGTCTATGTGCATACTCACAGGCGAAAGTGAATGATGATTGAGCAATTAACGATACCTAAGGTGGAAGCAATGTGGATATACATGATAAGATATATTACTGATTGTTGATTCTTAAACTAAACTGAAATGATAATATGTATTACCATTTCAGGCACCCAACCTGTGTATGTATAAGCTTAGAAGATCCTTGTAGCCTCGGTTTTGAATCAGTCACCTGTGCCGGAAGGGATTTATGCCAGAAAGATACTAGGATATCCCATAATGCAACTGTAATTATGAGACTGATGATGATAATCGTCCTCTTGATCGTCTGAAATCCTTCATACTAGATCCAACAATGTGGGTAATCTTGTACAGAGGGGAAAGACTCTTTCATCCATATCGTCATTTTGGACAGCCGACTTTGTAGTCAAGAGGCAATCCACTTGGGTCTGCAAGGGAAGTCTGACATGAGAATATTTACTAATTCACTGGAATACTCCGTCCATTCAGCAGGGTGTTGTCAGCGGAGACCCGGATATGTGTGTTATGTTCAGACTGACCCGGAAACAAACTAGTTCCCGGCTGAATGTGACCTTCGATGTGACAACTCCACCAGCACTTGTTCTCTCCTTTTAATTCCCAGAATACCCCTTTTCTGTGCGATGCATTATGGACACTCCTGATTCCAGCCCCACCAACATTCCGAGTGTGTGATATCTGGAGAGGCTACTGAGCTCAGAGACTGCTGTGGGAGATCGAAGGAAACGTTTGATTCATCCCGCCAAATGCTGTCCAGAAGAGGAACGTCCAGTCCTACCTGAGCGACGCTAAAGAAGAGACTAACCTCTATGTCCAGAACGAGCGCCTTGTTGATTTTCTGACCAAATAGAGGTGAAGGACAATTTTGACGTTCTTGTGTAACTCAATTGTCAGCTGACAAGGCACATGAAACCTTCTGGAAGGAAAGGGATGCAAAACTCTCGTCACGAGGGATTTCGTTTCACTTGGCTACAAGGAACCACACAGATTTTTTTTTGTTCTCTTAAAGACGGTGCTCAATGCATATCCCAGATAACAATTTCACGTTGTGACAACGTTATTACAACGTGGTCACAACGTTATGCTTTCGTTGTTTTAACGTTATTCTGTGGACTCCCATTTACGTTGTCACAACGTTGTGACCTGACGTTGTGATACGTCATTTTTCATTATTACGTTGCCACAAGGTTACGTTATTTGATGCTAACGTATTTGCGTTGTCTTAACGTTCTATTTAACGTTAATAGTTGAATTGATACACAATCACAAGCCATTGTTCCGCATGCCGCTCATATAGCTTCATATTGCAGCAATCACACATCTAAACTAACACCAGTCATGACTTATCCAAACATTGTGGGTGTGGACGTCTTATGTGGAGAGATGAAAACGTGGTGGGAGGACAAGTGTGGACATTGTTGGTGGAGATGTGTGGACATTGTTACTGGAGATGTGTGGACGTGTTGGGAGGAGAGGCGTGGACGTAGTGGGAGGAGACTTGTGGGCGTGGTAGGAGATGTGTGGACGTGTTGGGAGGGGAGGTTTGGACGTGGTTGGAGGAGAAGTGTGGACGTGTTGGGAGGAGATGTTTGGACGTGGTTGGAGGAGAAGTGTGGACGTGTTGGGAGGAGAGGTTTGGACGTAATGGGAGGAGACTTGTGGGCGTGGTAGGAGATGTGTGGACGTGTTGGGAGGGGAGGTTTGGACGTGGTTGGAGGAGAAGTGTGGACGTGTTGGGAGGAGAGGTGTGGACGTAGTGGGAGGAGACTTGTGGGCGTGGACATGGCTGGAGGAGATGTTTGGACGTAGTTGATGAAGAGGTTTCGGCGTGGTGGCAGGAAAAGCGTGGACATTGTTGGTGGAGATGTGTGGACATTGTTACTGGAGATGTGTGGGCGTGTTGGGGGAGAGGCGTGGATGTAGTAGGAGGGGGCTTGTGGGCGTGGTGGGAGGAGATTGTGGGCGTGGCTGGAGGAGATATGTGGACGTAGTGGCTGAAGAGGTTTGGACGTGGTGGGAGAAGAGGTGTGGAATTAGTGGGAGGAGAAGTATGGACGTGTTGGGAAGGATGTGTGGACGTGTTGGGAGGGGATGTGTGGGCGTGTTGGGAGGGGAGGTGTGGACGTGGTGGGAGGGGAGGTGTGGACGTGTTGGAATGATGATTACTCTTGATCCAAGTGAGGTCAACCAATAACATTATAATGCTTCCTTTAACAGAAGTACGTTTAGTAACACAAGTGACGATGAGATGTTTTCCTGGACTCCCAGACACGGCCATCAGATCTATCCCGATCCCTATGGAATCTCCCTAGTTAAGATAAACATAGCACCAAAGTATTAACATTAACAATGATGATTATTCTTGATCCAGGTGAGGTCAACCAATAACATTATAATGCTTCCTTTAACAGAAGTACGTTTAGTAACACAAGTGACGATGAGATGTTTTCCTGGACTCCCAGACACGGCCATCAGATCTATCCCGATCCCTATGGAATCTCCCTAGTTAAGATAAACATAGCACCAAAGTATTAACATTAACAATGATGATTATTCTTGATCCAAGTGAGGTCAACCAATACCATTATATTGCTTCCATTAACAAGAGTACGTGTATAGTCTGACATTTATAGCCAACCCACATTACATTTCCTGATGGGGAGGGCCATATGATCACACGAGATCATATATCTCACGAAGAATACCTCACAAAAGAATTTCAATCCTTCACTCACAGATATTGTTTTTGACAGTTTTACAGTGTGACCAAAAAAAATGTGATTTTTGTTAAAATACTTCTTCGTCTTGGAGACTGGTCCAAACTCAAAGTAGGATCCAGGCACCATGAAAACATTCTTAAACCTTTCTACTCCACGGCAAACTGTGGGAAATAGCAACTCAATACACAAGTGAAATCTGGGGAAATGTTGCATGTAATGATGGAAAACATCTTTATATTGTTCAGAACATAGTGAATATCTCATGAGCCAATATTGAACCCGTTTCTCTTCCTTGAATGGGTGAAAAACGTTCTTGTGAAACTGTCGTATCTGTGACTATCCACAGCTTTCAAGGTTGTAGACCAGCCTTGTATGCCAGCATACCTACTATGGGATGCTCAACCCGATGACCAACTGCCTTGTTAGACAGTATAATACAATACAATAGAATTATACAATATAGTTTATTAAAGTCTTACCATTTGTACAACAAAGGTTTAAAATAAAGCATTTTGAATATTAAAACGTAAAACTACAAATGCCACCCAAAAGGATTATGAGAGACTGTTTTACAAAATACTAAATACTTTATTAAATAGGGTAAAATGATGTATATACCATATTGCTATAATTTAAAAATATAAATATATAAAACGTGTATGATACGATATATATGAATATGAAATATCAAATGTATGTAAACTTATATACATAAAATAATTTCCTACGCATAATCATTTTGAAGCACATGCTTCCTAAAAGGGGTAAATTGCCATGATTATATGAGAAGGTAAAATTGTACCACAGCTGCGTGATAAACCCAGAGTTTGTTTAGCGGCAACTTATGAATGTTCCACGCGTTAAGCAGAACATCGTCCCGTATGAGTAAGTAGCCGTCAACTCGAAACTGCGTCTTCATCACTTTTATCAAACAGTGTTGAAAATGCCAGCCATTACTATAGTCAATTTCCATGAATGTCAAAGGTTTGGGAAGTAACTTAACGTGGTTGTGGAATTCAGCTTTGTTGGCTCCACAGTTCACAATGTGAGGGAAATGACTGCCGTACATTGTCTCCTGAACTCATAGTGCGGACAGTTAAACAGTCAGACAGACAGGTTTATTTAAGTCTCACTCGTAGTACATATAAAAACATATATAACTTCAAGTGCATATACAATATCAATAAAATATGCTACGACCAGTTGCTCCGAGACTTATGAGACACATCTTAATCATTAATAAAATTAAATATTCATAATATATATTTACAAAAAACAGCTGTATAAAATGGTAATGTAAATTAGCCATATAAAATTTTACGTCTTTGACTAACATATCATGGCAGGTTTTGACAACGTTAAATGATACAACGGGGGGAAGTAAACATATAAACTGAGGGGCAAAAGAAACGTCCCCAAAGTAAAATTGTAAAAAACAGTTCTTCTGTTTTCGTTATGACGGAAATTTAGTTAGGAACACATCTCCCGAACGCATCCCCACGTCTCACAGAAAGGAAATCCACGTGGAGTTTTTTGTAAGCATGAAAATTGCTTTTATTCACGTTTTTAGCATGCTTCTGTGGAAACATACCCGTATGAAAGTACAGTATAAAAATTATCCTCGACTGTTCGAATTCATCACTTCAATACGTTGGACACAAAGAACATGCCTCGACTCACGGCAGAACAGAGAGAACGAGCTATTGGGATGTTGCAGCTGGGTGCTTCTCACAGTCACGTTGCAAGAATCATGGGTTGCAGCAAGAAAACCATCACCAGACTGATGACACGCTTCAGAACAACAGGTCGGACTGCAGACAGGCCTAGGACAGGGAGACCACCCGTAACCACCCCTCAGGAAGACCGCCATTTACGGGTGCTTCACTTGCGCAACAGATTCCTGACTGTGACGTCATCAGCAACAACCAGCCTTACCCATCCAGTCAGTAGAAGGACCATATCCAGACGACTCCGCCGATTCGGTATCAGAGCCTACAGACCATTCCGGGGCGTGACGTTAACGCGTGAACATCGACGTCGTCGATTGGCTTGGGCACGTAGAGTTCGGCAGTGGCAGCCGCGGAACTGGCGCCGGGTACTCTTCAGTGACGAGAGCCGCTTCCAGTTGAACAAAGCTGATGGTCGGGTACGAGTCTACAGACGTCGGAACGAACGCACAGCACGTTGTTGCGTTCAGGAAGTTGAGACGTTTGGCGGCGGTAGTGTGATGGTGTGGGGGGAAATTTGTGGCGAGAGGAAGACTGACTTGTTGGTGATAGAGGGAAACCTGAATGCCCGTCGATACATTGATGTTGTTTTACGACCTGTCGTGTTACCCTTCCTCCAGCAGAATCGAGGCGTGTTGTTTCAGCAGGATAACGCTACTCCCCACACTGCTGTTGTTACCCGGAACTTCCTGAACAACAACAACGTAAACGTCATTCCTTGGCCAGCAAGATCCCCCGATTTATCACCTATTGAGCACCTATGGGATCATCTCGGCCGTCAGGTTAAGCAACGTCAACATCCCCACAGACAAGAAACGCTTTGGCTCAAGCTCTACAGGAAGAATGGCGTCGCATCCCAGGTCATCGTGATCAGACGTCTTGTGCACTCTGCACGACGTCGTGTGGCAGCATGTATCGCTGCAAGAGGTGGACACACTCGCTACTGAGGAGTTGGACACTCCAAAGACACTCTGTCAGTACTGATGTGCATGTGTTGTCATGATCGAAAACCGGACATTTGAACCTCCTGTGAAAAACGTCACAAAAACTCTACTTACAGCAAATTGTTTCAATTGTTCTGTAATGACAGTCTGCATAATATGTTCAAAAATTATATCAAACATTTCAACATTGAATTGCACGTGTTTGTATCATTTTATGATACAAAAATGATCGGGGACGTTTCTTTTGCCCCTCAGTTTATGAACGCTTTTAATGGCATGATAAATCCTTAAAATGAATGTTATTAAGAACACATTTTAGCATAAGATCTTTTCTATTACTGTTAAAAGCTGGACATAAAAATAAAACATGGATTTCATCCTCGACTACATTTTGGCAATTAAAGCAAACTTTCTCGTTGTGCGGTATATTTTCATATCTTCCCGTTTCAACTCTTTTTGGGGCCGATCCACATCTGAACTTTGCAAAAGCACTTCTGTGACCTCGTGAAAGCGGACACTAACATACCGTTCTGTTTCATATTTTGTTTTAAAAAGTCTATAGTTTTTCAATTTGTTTCCCCCTTCGTCATTTATCTTCTCTCCCCATCCTTGCTTATGTACCGTATACATGTACATAGTTTCTTGCACGTTCGTGATGAATAACTTCTTTTCCAGGTGGTGGTCGATATCTGTAAGGTGTTCGAATCCAAGGGTTACAAGATGGGTTCTGACTTTTTTCTCTTTTAAACACTACAATTAACGCAGTGTTTGGATAAGTCATGACTGGTGTTTGTTCAGACGTTGTAAATGGGTGATTGCTCCTCATAACACGTCCACGCCTCTCCTTCACCACGTCCACACCTCTCCTTCACCACGTCCAAACCTCTCCTTCACCACGTCCACACCTCTCCTTCACCACGTCCACACCTTCCGCCCACCACGTCCACACATCTCCTCCAAACAGTCCACACCTCTCCTCCCAACAAGTCCACACATCTCCTCCCAACACGTCCACACCTCCTCCCAACACCACCACACCTCTCCTCCCAACACGTCCACACCTCTCCTCCCAACACGACCACACATGTCCTCCCAACACGTCCACACCTCTCTTCCCAACACGTCCACGAATCCTCCTTCACCACGTCCACGCCTCTCTTCCCAATACGTCCACACCTCTCCTCCCAACACGTCCACACCTCTCATTCACCACGTCCACACCTCTCTTCCCAACACGTCCACACCTCTCCACCCAACACGTCCACACCTCTCCTCCCAACACGTCCACACCACTCCTCCCAACACGCCCACACCTCTCCTTCACCACGTCCACACCTCTCTTCCCAACACGTCCACACCACCCAACACGTCCACACCTCTCCTCCCAACACGTTCACACCTCTCCTCCCAACACGTCCACACCTCTCCTTCACCACGTCCACACCTCTCTTCCCAACACGTCCACACCTCTCCTTCAGCACGCCCACACCTCTCTTCCCAACACGTCCACCCCTCTCCTCCCAACACGTCCACAAATCTCCTACAAAGCTTGTAAATGTTTGTAAATTTAGGATGGATTTTACCGCTATTTCTTACAGTTACTCCCTTTTAAGAATTTCATTTGCAGAAAAGAAGGGATTATCAAAAATGTAAAACAAACTTCCGTTCAATAACATTTTCATCAACATTACGATATTGACCATGGAACGTATATTTCAATGTAATAATACGCTAGGTTCCTCATTCACACATACCATACAAACGGACACCTCAACACAAAACAAATTCAGCACAATGCAATCAATC